CCAGTCGGTCCCCACAGCGACGAGGTGGCAGGTCACCTCAAAGGTCAGGAGGTTGGCACCCAGGCTGGCCACAAGGCCGGCCCTGGGAAGATCTGGGCCTAGATCAGAAAGTGTGGCAGCAACGGATGAAGCAGGGACAGTGCATTTATTGTGGTGACCCTGCCCATATCATAAAATATTGTCCTAAGTATAGAGAGGCCCGTTGGGCTGCCCAAGAGTCAAAAGGCAGCCGCCGGTAGGGGATGCAACTGCCCCTACTACTAGGCCATGTGGGGAAGCGAGCGCGCGCTTACAGGAAACTGCCACACCACATGTGCCTTCGGTAGAGTAGCTGTCTAGAGACTATTTGTGTCAGCGTCTCTCTAGGCACGTCCCTCCCAGGCGTGACAGAGGAGTTAAAGGAGAGGATGCCAGCCTGGACCAAAATGAAGAAAGACAATAAAGGGCAGCTAGTGTAGTGGATGTAGAAGTGTTCAGGAGTAGAGTAGGGGCCCTTATAGATTCAGGGGCCAGCTGCAGTTACATTAGCCGTAGAGCGCTGAAGAAGATGAGGCTAGGATTAAAAGTCCAGAAGTTAGCAGACCCCATAGTTAGTGTCCTCGCAGACAACCGCACTATGTGTGTTGAGGACTACGTAGAGGGAGTCCAGGCGTACTTTCGCCTAGAGAAAGATGGGAAGGTGGAGAAAGTTCTCCATTCCCTGACTCTCCTCGTACAGGATGATCTTCCATTTGACATAGTCCTAGGCATGGACTGCGGAGAGGCAGCAGGGGCCACACTCCACTTGAGAGAGCATGAGTGTAGGCTCCCTAGTCCGTCAGGCGAGGTTAAGACAGCCCGCCTGTTCCATGTGTCAGGAGTAGACAACTCCTTGGCACATTGTTGTCTCAGTGCTCCCGCGTTCGCGCGACTAGTCAGAAAGGAGCAGTTAGAAGACCAGGTCCTTGTAGTATATGTTAGACCTGTCATTGAGCCTAAGGAAGGGGATAGTTCCACGGATCCAACCATTGCCAAGCTGCTGGAAGAGTTTAAAGACTTAGCTGAGCCGCCGACAGGAGTAGTGTCGTGGCCGGTCCAGCACATGATAGAGATAAAGCCTGGCAGTAGAACTCCTAAGGGAGCAGTCTATAGGATGTCCCCTAGAGGGTTAGAGGAGCTTCGCAAACAGTTAGACGAGCTCCTTGAGAAAGGTTGGATCAGGCCCAGTTCGTCTCCTTTTGGAGCACAAGTTTTGTTTGTTCCCAAGAAGGAAGGAAAGTTACACATGTGTTTAGACTATAGGGGTCTGAATGCTATCACAGTCAAGAATGCTGAACCACTGCCCAGGATAGACGATCTTTTAGATCAAGTGTAGGGTTGTAAGTATTTCTCCAAGATAGATTTGAAGTTCATCCTGATAACCAGTACAAGACTGCGTTCCGAACTCGTTATGGCCATTATGAGTTCATAGTGATGCCCTTTGGACTGACCAATGCGCCAGCTACATTTCAGCATTGTATGAATGATCTGTTTAGGCCTTGGTTAAATAGATTCGTCGTAGTGTATTTAGACGACATCTTAGTTTTCAGTAGGACCCTCCAAGAGCACCAGGGTCATTTGAGGCAGGTCTAGGAGAAGCTGAGAGAGGCTAACTTCAAGATCAATATGAAGAAGTGCGAGTGGGCCAAAACACAAGTTCTGTACTTGGGCCATGTGTTAGACGGAGATGGCATTAAGCCTAAGGACAGTAAGGTAGCGGCGATTAGAGATTGGCCGACGCCGCGCACATTGACAGAGTTGCGTTCGTTCCTTGGCCTAGCTAACTACTATAGGAAGTTCGTAAGGAACTTCTCGACTATCGCCACTCCCCTTCACCGGTTGCTCAAGAAAGAGGCAATCTGGCAGTGGGACAAAGATTGTACGTCCGCGCTAAAGAAGTTGAAGCACGCATTAATAAAATATCATGTCCTCAAAGTAGCAGATCCGTCCTTGATATTTGTCGTCACCACGGAAGCGAGTCAGTACGGTATAGGCGCCGTGTTACATCAGGACGACGGCAATGGCTATAGACCCGTAGAGTTCATGTCAGCGAGGATGCCCTCAGAGAAGGTTGCTACCTCGACGTACGAGAGAGAACTCTATGCTCTCAGGCAGGCTTTAGAGCACTGAAAGCATTACCTGCTTGGGAGGCATTTCAAAGTGTATTCAGACCATGAGACGCTTCGATGGCTGAAGACACAGGCCAAGATGACACCTAAGTTGACTAGGTGGGCCGCTGAGATAGAGCAATATGACTTTGAGCTCAAGCCAGTTAAGAGCAAGTACAATGTAGTTGCAGATGCTCTGAGTAGGATATCAGACTACTTTGGAGCTATAGTTCACTATCTAGACATAGGGAGCGACCTGCA